GAACTACCGCTAGTTGTAGCCTTTTGCTTATCTTTCTCATCCTTTCTAGGATCGTAAATATGATCATTTGTCATATCAGCTATACCTAATTAATTAAAACTACTATCTCCATCATTTTTGAGTACTGTATTATGTGATATTATACTTTCTGCTTCTTCTTCTTCTTCCACAGGTCGAAAAGTGAAAAATCAGGCATCAATCAGTCACCAATCGGTCACTAATCAGGTACCTGATTGGTGCCCGATTGGTGACTGATTGGCATTTTCGCCAAATACCGTTACCAATCAGGCAGTTTGCTAACTTTTGATCCAGTGATCAGAAAAGAATGAAATATAGCTCATTGGAATCGTCTCAACAAGACGAATCTAATGGTAGTAAAATCGCATCTCTAGGATTAATAATTAATAAAAAATTAAATAAAATATAAATGATACATTTTTATTTTTATTTTTTACTTAATTCTCAAATTTCTCATCAAGTATTAATCCTAGAAATGCAATTTTACTACCATTAGATTCGTCTTGTTGAGACGATTCCAATGAGCTATATTTCATTCTTTTCTGATCACTGGATCAAAAGTTAGCAAACTGCCTGATTGGTGACGGTATTTGGCGAAAATGCCAATCAGTTACCAATCAGTTACCAATCAGTCACCAATCAGCTACCTGATTGGTGACCGATTGGTGCCTGATTTTTCACTTTTTGACCTGTGTTCATTCCGTTAGTTTTGCCACGCTTTGTCTTGTATATTTGTTGTAGGTTCAGTTCCTCTAAATTGTTGATTATTACCCGAACTTTTGTCATTGTTATCTATCTTCTTTTAGTTTTTCTCTCCTGACATTTTACTTGTATTACTGGCTGTATCTGATGATTGTTCTCAATAATATGCTTCCCAATTATTAAAGCGATCTGTGACTTCCCAATAGAATTGTATCGTTTTAACTAATGTATCAAATGCTGGTATTACTATATACCTAATAGTTTGTACTAACTCCTGAATTAATCTGTAAACTTCTTGGCTATCTCATTGTCGCTGTAATTTCCTAAAGATTCATATAGTATTTTGTGTAAAAACACTATCTGGATACCTGGGTAAAATAACGGATTGCCAAAATTCTCTAAATCTGGGATTCTCCAATAATCCTAAATTCTGATCTTCTGGATAGCAATCTGCACACTATAAATCCTCAATTAAATCCTGTTTTCCTTGATTATGGTCTTCTATATGCTGAAAAATCTGTTGTAAGTACTGAAATTCCTTATTCATTCACAATTACTATTTTTCTTTAGTTTCCACCCAACTCGCACCAAATTGTTATCCTGTCAACGATTAAAGCCAACTGAAAAACTTTAACGTTTTAACAGGTTAACTGGAGTTTAACTTAATAGGAGAGTCTTAAGTCGATCACAAATAATCACGTAAAATAATGTTGGATGTTCAGTTAAAGAAAATAGGTTTTTATTAAAATAATGTAAGATTTTAAATATGACAAAAAATATAAATAATCTCTTAGTTGCGAAATTAACTATCTTGAATTATACTACTGGAAATAATACTCTTTTCGTATAACTCGAATACTACAATACAATTCTTAACTAACTGACTGACCTTCCTTTCTACTTGGTAAAATCCTATCACTATTTATAATAAAATAAAAATTAAGAATATTTGATAAAATAAATAAATCAAATATAATAAATAAATAAAATAAATAAAATAAAATAAATATATCAAATAAATAAAATATAACAAATAAAAATAAAATTAATAAAATAAATAAATCAAATAAATCAAATTTATCAGATTTATCAGATTTATCAAATAAATCAAGAAAATCAAGAAAATCGAAAAAATCAAGAGATCTACGAAATGATCTACAAAATTGATCTATATAAAATTACTGCGCCACATTTCTATTTTAACAATATCTACAGTCAGAATTATAAGAATCCGACCTCCAAATATTTTCCGAAATCATGTGATAACCTACCATAAAAATTTCCAGGATTCAAGATCAATGATAATCTTGATCATCTGTAAATTTATAGGTTCGTACAATATATAAATCAGGAGTTAGATGATCGACAACTTTACGCCACAAAAAATGGCTCTTCCTCTTAATAAACGATATGAAATTGTTTTTTTACATGAACATGAAGCAGATCCAAAGTGGGGTTATGAAAAAATAGCATCTCATATTCACTGTAGTAAGTCTACAGTAATTTATTGGGTCAAAAAATACAAGCAGGATAAGGACCTAACTGATGAACAAAGTCAGGCCAATCATGCAAAACCACTAAAGCACAAGACGAGCGAATTGTGAAGCTGGCAATGAAAAAACATGATATTACCGCTGCTGAAATACAACAAAAACTTGATAAACAAGGTGTTGAGATCAGTAAAACTACTATTAGGAGGCGTCTTGATGAGTCTGGAGGTAAATTTATAAAAGAAATTTCAAAACCTTTGCTCTCTGAGGGTCATATGGTCAAACGATTGCAGTGGGCGAAAAAACATAAAAAATTTGATTGGAAACGAGTTATTTTTACTGATGAAAATACCTTTCAATTATTCCAGTCAAATAGAAAGATCTGGCAGTTTGCTGGGAGACGAAAAGTGTTCTGTATGGTCAAGCATCCACAGAAGGTTCATGTTTGGGGTTGTTTTTCTGCTCAAGGATTTGGTAAGCTAATTTGCTTTGAGCAGAACCTGAATGCCATTTTTATGTGTAATATTTATGAGAAAGGTCTTTTGCCTTCTGCCTGTGAGTTTTTTGGTGAAGATAGCATAAATTGGATCTTGCAAGAAGACAATGACCCCAAGCACCGATCAAAATCCTATAGAAAATGTTTGGCAACTTCTAAAAATTAAAATATCAAAAAAAAAAATTAGTACAACTAGAAAATTAAAGGCAGAATTAACAAAAGAGTGGGGTCAATTACCAGTTCAATTAGCTGAAAATCTTGTCAACAGTATGGGAAGGAGGGTAGAAGCATTAATAGAGTCAGGGGGGACTTTACTATGTATTAATTATCAGGGTTCGTCTTGTACTTTAAAATAAAAAAAAATAAAGTTATTGTTTATTTAAATTTTTTTTAATGGCAAGGGGTCGGGTATTTATGATTCTGACTGTATGAATTAAGTTCCAAGTTATATTCCAATCAATTGGAATTTCATGTCTATTTGATTTTAGCATTGACCATTCTGCTGCCACTTTAGTATTCATTAGAGTTTTAATAAATTTCCTTAAGTTGTATTCAATAGAGATCTGTTTAAAAATTGAAAAAAATCTGACTTTCTTATTGCTATAGTTAAATCTGTTATTAAAGTAATAGCTGTTGTTACTTGTGTTCTTAGCTAATTTATCTACCATTTCATTCATAACATCTCTACTGTATCCCTTAACTTTCACTAACACTAGATCCATCTTTTTTTCCTGTAAAAGAATATCTATCTTAAGTAAAATTAAAGAATTAGACTGTTTCAGTAATTNTAGATCCATCTTTTTTTCCTGTAAAAGAATATCTATCTTAAGTAAAATTAAAGAATTAGACTGTTTCAGTAATTTTCTACCTGATACTTAAATTATATTTAAAATATACTTAAACTAAAATTTAAATACAATATAAGTGTATTTTTTACATGTTTAAAATATTCTTAAAATATACTTAAATTAAAATTTAAGTACAATATAAGTGTATTTTTTATATACTTAAAATATACTTAAATTGAAATTTAAGCACATTTTAAGAATATTTTAAACATGCAAAAAATACACTTTTATTGTACTTAAATTTTAGTTTAAGTATATTTTAAATATAATTTAAATACTTAGGCAAAAAACAAGTACATTAAAAGTATATTTTAAGAGTATTTTAGATACATTTTAGATATATTATAAGTATATCTCAAATTAAAATTAATACTTATTTAATTTTTAAGTATATTTTAATAAAATTTTAAGTATATTTTAAGTATAAAAACTTTTCATAGGGATAAAGGTCACCGTAAAAAATTGGCTCTTTACTAATAGTTTTTACTTTACTTTTTTCTTAAATTCTATTGGTTAATTAGCTAAAAAGGAAAAAAACCATAACAATGTAACATAAAATTTCCTTTCATAGTAGGATTTACAAAGAATTTTATATATGATTTTTACCTTAGGCCTGGGGGTGACCTATCTTATAAGTAAGCGGAGTCCTATTTACTCAGGATCCCGCTTACTTCTAATATAAGTGTCCAAAAATCTGTGGTAAAATTCATAGTAAAATTTAATTTTAGGTTACTTAATAGTCAAGGATAAAATTATATATATAACAAATAAAGGTCTCTGGATATGTAAGGTAAAGTTAAAATAGGTTTCTGGTTTATAAGGTAAAATCAATTAATAATTTGTATAGGTTTCAGTATATAATAAGGTAAAATTGATTATAGATTATATTATAAATTAGATCTTTAATTTTATAAATAAATATAACACAAAAATATAATTTAAATGTGACGGTATAATGAAGTTATAAAAAGAATTAGACGTGTCAGTATAACAAAATTATAAAAAGAATTAGACGTGTCGATGTAATGAAATTATAAAAAGAATTAGACGTGACAGTGTAACAAAATTACAATAAGATTTAGACATGACAGTGTAACAAATTTTAAACGTGATGGTGTAACAAATTTAAATATTAAAATATAAACAAATTTAGATGAAATAGAAATTATTTTAGATGTGATAGCGTAATGACAAAAATTTATATAAAGAACTTTAGAACAAAAGGGTGGTGGTGGGTAAAGAAGGAGAAAATTATAAGTCCATAAATTTTTTTAAAAATTTTGTAATTTCTCAATATTATTTTTAGAAAATAACTACATTTCACCGGAGGTAAATTTCCTCCCTTCACGTGATACTGATTTCATGTGATTTGTATGATTTGTAATCATATAAAAACCTTGCCTTACGTGTTACAATAAACTTCTTTCTTTGTTACTCATTGTACAACTCCTCATTATATAAAAACCTTGCCTTACGTGTTACAATAAACTTTTTTGTAAACTTTCCTTGTTACTCGTTATACAACTCCTCATTATAGAGATGACCGAAAAAATTTCCAATTTTTCTTTAAATGAAACTTTGACAAATGTTGAATTGTTACACGACAAACAACATCAAAATTTTCTAATTATCGATTCTTCATCTGAAGATGATATTGAAAATCCAACTTTAAACTTGACTTTAGGACAAACTTTTCAAACTTGTGATGAAGCTGAGAAATTTTTAAATGATTACGCGTTGGAAAAAGGTTTCAGTATTTGGCGGAAAAGAACTGAAAATGATGATAATAAAATCCTACGAAAAATTAGTTGGGAATGTTGTTGTGCAGGTAACTACCAACCAAAAAAGATATTGAATCCAAATGATCAAAGAAATCGCCAGTCTAAAGCTACAGGATGTAAGTGGAGAGTTAATGGAAATCTTCCAAAAAACTCTTTAAGAATTTTGTTCACTACTGTTGTTGATGAACACAATCATCAAATGATACCTTCTCCTTCAACTAATATTGCTAAATATCATAAGCTTGAGATATAATTCAATTTATAGATTTTTGTGTACAAAATGGAACAATTGGCACACAAACTATCAGTCAGCTTTTAAGAGGAAAGTTTCCTGGAAGAAAAATCCACCAGAAAAATTTATATAATGCCATCCAAGCTTCAAAAAAGAAATTAGCATCAAGAATTGAATTTGATGCTTCAGATTTAATGAAATTTTTATATTCACAACAAACAGATGACTCACGTTGGTTTATAGAAACTAAATTTGATGGAATTGAATGACGATTGTGTGGATTATTATGGATGACACCGGATCAACAATTTTTATGAACGCGTTATCATGATGTTCTATTTTTTGACACTACGTCTCGAACTAACAAATATAATATGATGGCTTGTTTTTTTGCAGTTATTGACAATTGTAATCGTACACGACTTGTTGCAACTGCATTACTTGAAGATGAAACAGAAGAAAGTTTCATTTGGGCATTAAGTATGATTAAAAAAGGTACTAATGATCTTATACCGAAAGTTGTATTTACTGATTCTGACCCAGCAATGGCCAATGCAATAAGTTTAGAATTTCCAGATACTATCCATTGTTTATGTATATTTCATATTGACCTTAATTTGAAGAAAAATCTTCGGAATAAGTTGAAATCAGATGAATTTAAAGCATTTCGAGAAGAATTTTTTCATTGTAGGAATACATTGATTTCAACACTTTTTGAAAATCGTTGGGAGCATTTGAAATTAAAATATCCATCAGCTGGTAATTATATAAGAAAACAATTGGATCCTTTAAAATACAAATGGGCTGTATGTTATACAAATAATCAATTTACAGCTGGTGCAAATAGCACTCAACGAGTTGAAAGTTTGAATCACAAAATTCATGATTGTGTTCGTTCTCTTTTAACATTAGTAAAAGAGATCCAATATGTACTTGACAAGGAATCAGAATACGCAAGGGTAGAAGAATACAAAGACCAAATACCTATAGTTGGTCTTGCAACTATTCCTAAAGCATATTTTAAATCCATTAAAAAAGTTGTTTCGGAATTTCTTATGCCTGCAATGGTATTTTTAGTTTGTAAGCAAATGCAAGAGTGTTTTTATTATGATAGTTTTAAGATGAATGTTGCAATTATTGATTCTATAATACAGGTAATTATTATTTCTTTAGAGAATTGTTTGTTTATTCATATTTCATATTAATTAACACATTTGCCTTTTTAATAGGAACAAATAAATACTGATTATAATGAAGGAATGAGGGAAGAAAACTATGAAGTTGTTAAAGTACACCTCACTGATATCATTTCTAAAATTGGTTTGGATCAAATTTTAGAAATTTGGCAATTGGTTATATCTTGTGGAACCAAAACTCATTATGTTATTTTGTTAGTGGATGGATCACATCATTGTACGTGTAATCTTCTTATAACACATGGATATCCATGTCGCCATTTTTACAAGATTTTACGATGTTCAACTTAAGCTAAATGGCATATAGGTCTTATTGCATCATGTTGGTATAAGGATGATATAATTGATGGAAATAATGATATTTGGCAGCAATCACCTATAACTCTATGTATAAATTCAAATCAAGAACAGAATAATGATCAATACTCAGTGTATAAGTTTGATTATATTAAACAAATTCGTAGTGCTGAATTCTACAATCAAAATTTAAGAGAAATTAACTGTACATAACGAAAATATGGCAAAGCACATGGTTTAATGCGAAAAGCACTTGACACTGCAATTGCCACTAATTCTTATGATGAATTTATAGGTATTTGCCATGGATTTATATCAGATAAACAAGCAATTCTAGAATCAGGTCAGAATATGGAAGAAATCAATTTTAACATTAAAAATCCTATAATTACTACAAGAAAAGGAAGGCCAGCTGGAAGAGCAAAGAGTTGTGTTGAGATTCAAGACCAGCATACTAGAAAATGACGACATTTACAACCATTAGATAATAATAATCAAATGTCAAATAACAATGCAAGTGGAAGTAATAATAATGAAAAAGACAAGCGAAAGACTTGTCAAAATTGTGGAGAAAAAGGGAGTAATAGGGCAATGTGTAAGTTCATTAGTCAGAATGTGTAAATTATTTCAAATATATGTATTGTTGATTGTACATTAGCAAATGGGATGAAATGCTATTTATTCATTAATTAGATCATGTAAATTGCTATCTATTGTATGCATTACAAATTGTATGTTGACTGTATTAATAAAATAAAAATATTTGCTTTGCATTTTGATTGTATCAGTTTTTTCATATTGAAAGTGTCTAAAACTATGCCGATAACATTTCAAAGGCTAATTTACATTTGTAGAATATAAACTTCTATGATTAAGATTGTAATTAGATTACCGGAGGTTAGGATTGTTAGGATTAGTTAGAGTTAGAGTTAGAGTTAGGGTTAGGGTTAAGGTTAGGTTAGGGTTAGGTTAGGGTTGGGATTAGGGTTAGGATTAGGGATTATGGTTAGGGATTATGGTTAGGCTTAATGTTAGACTTAGAGACGTGTAAATTTTTTTTTTCGAATATCTTTACTAACTTTATTATTGTATTCTACTTTCTTATTCAGGTAAAAGCCACTATCAGACTATATCAGCAGAGTTACATATGTGCTAATCACATGACAAGGAAGGAATTTTCCCCTGGTTAAGATTAGAAATTTTGTTATTTTTATATTAAATAACTAATTTTACTTCATTTTAACATAGAAAATTTTTTAATAATTTTTTAATTAATTAATAAAATTTATTAACCCTTATCTCAGTCAATATTAAACCTAGAAAGATGATTTTACTACCATTAGAATTGTCTTAATAAGATGATTTTAATGGTATAAAATTTATCAAAATTGGATCACTGGATTTTTAATAATTTGCAAATTTATATTTTGTATTTTTTTATATTAAAATTTATTTATAGTAATAAAAATAATAAAATTTTGTATTAATTAATAAATGTTTAAAAAAATTTTAAACTATTGTAAAATACTTTATTTACTAATTAAATACTTTTAAAGAAAATTTAAGTCTTTAAAAATTTAAGGTAAAATTCAATATAATTTTAAAAGATCACACTATATATAAGGTAAAATTATGAGACAGAAAGGGTTGGTAAGATTACTAGTAAATCTGAAATTTTGTGAGGAGACTTTTATTAGAAGTAAGCGAGGTCCTGTTTACTCTTCTTATTCTTGTTATTTGTAGTATTTGGTCTAACCTTGTTAGCTGAGTCTTGGTTCTGCTTCTGATTTTGACTACTTCTTAGTGATCAGTTACAAACTTTAGACAGTTAAAACAAGAAGTACCTATTCCAAATACCTTCAAATTTTTGTAAAGTCAACTTGGTATTCGTGATTTTATCCAAATCTGCCTAATTTTTGTAATATGTAATGAGCTTGCGAAGGAGTGGATTGTTTCTTCTTAGCTGGCTGAGCCTTGCTATCAGACGCTGTACGTTTGGTCGAATTAATCTTTTGCCTATTACCAGGTGGAGTTAGGAAGATGTCACATTCACTACTTACATCTAAGTTTCTGCAGGCCATTTCTGCAAATGTACCGTATATAGCGGGCCACAGTACCCCGGGTATCTTGCAAAAATCGGGGGTTTGACCCTGTACCCCCGGGTACTAAACAAAGCCTAAAAATTCTGTTTTTTGCGAATATCTCACGATCTACCAGTCCAATTTGAACGATCTTTTTTTATTTTGAAGAGCTCAATGAGAGCTATCAAACAAAAAAATGATGGCTCAAATCTGATCACTAGATCACGAGATAATTGTAAAATATCCCCCCGGGTACTATACAATTCTATGAAATTTTTCAAGGGGGGTACTATGCATAGGGGGGGTACTATGGCCCGCGATATACGGTAATAGTATGTCCTTTTCTTTTTAGGATATAAAGTATGGCTTTGGTATTCAATTTTGTATAACTTTTACTAGAGTTCTTTGTTGAAGATTCTGCAATTACATCTTCTAATTGGTGTTCGGTGTTTTGATCATTGAGTTCTATTCGATATTTTCAAAAATTTCTGTTTCCATTGGCTGTGCTTGTGTTGATACTGGCGTATCATTGGTTGCTTCTGTTAACTTTAACTGCGCCACCTGTTCTTGAAATATTTTCTTTATGTAATTCTTCATAGAGGTTTCATACTCGTCAGTAAAGTTGGCGAAAATATACAATAGGTAGATAAGTTGAAAGTCATTCTTAAGACCAAGTTTCTTGAGAGATTACCTATTGGTTTTAACAAAGTTTTCAGTATTGTTGTATTTTCTAACAGGTAAAATACGCTTAACATATTTAAGAATATTAGTTGGGTCAGTATTTTCCATATTCTGAAGGACAATATATAATGTTTCAAGAAAGCTTTTTTCATTAATAAAGCATTCGATGACCTTTTTCAGGTCAAGTCTGATATCGTATTCTTTCATTAAAGACATTTTTGAGCTAAAAATTATAAAAAATAAAATTTTATTTTGCGAAAAAAATGGTCATAATGATTGTCAGAAAGAGTTTCCATTTAGGATTTATATTAATTCGTGATTCAGATAAGAATGAGTGAGTAATTTTGCGATCCTAAATGTGGGTATCCTTACATATATAAATCCATCAATTTTTAGCCAAATCATTTGAAATTTTTACTGAAAAAACTTTAAGATTGGCTCTATCATATCTGAATATTTAATGTAATATTTATAAAGCTCAAAAGTTTAAGAATAATTGCATAATAGGTGTAATAAGAAATCAAAAATAAATCAAGAAAATTTTTCATGAATTTTTTTAAAAAAAATTCTTGATTAATATTCAGAATATATGTTTTTAGAGAAGTGCAATCTATTTTTAAACTTTTAAAATTAGTATTTAATTCATATTCTATGTACCAATAGAGAAAATCACTAATTAAATTTTAAGTAAATAAAAAAATCATTTTTTGTGATTATTCTATGATCCAATTATTTGACTTTGGTGAACATTTTTTATTGTGTAGCTCTCTAAGCTCTCTACAAAATAAAAAAAAGATCTTTAAAATTGGACTAATAGATCGTGAGATAATCACAAAAATGATTTTTTTCAGAATATATTAGATAAATGCAGTTATCCTCTGAAAAAACTCGTTTTTTGCAATTATCTCACAATCTATTGGTCCAATTTCAACAATCTTTTTTTTTATTATATAGAGAAATTGGAGAGCTACACAATATAAAAATGTTCATTGAAATTGAATTACTAGATCACGAGATAATTGCAAAAACAAGTTTTTTTTATTTTTTTCAAATTTAATTAGTGATTTACTCCTTATTTTTATATGAATCACAAATTAAATACTAATTTTAAAAGTTTAAAAATAGATTAAACTCCATAAAAACATATATTCTGAATATAAACCAAGCATTTTTTTAAAAAAATTTGTAAAAAAATTCTTTTTAATTTTTTTTATTTTTTATTACTCCTATTTTGTAAATTATTTTTAAATTTAGAGCTGTTATAAATATTATATTAAATACTTAAATATGATAGAGCCAATCTTAAAGTTTTTTCAGTAAAAATTTCAAACAATTTGGCTGAAAATTGATGGATTTACATATGTAAGGACATCCACATTTGGGAATCGCAAAATTGCTCACTCATTCTTATCTGAATCATGAATTAAATTAGTTAATATATAGAATAGTTTAATAAGTTTAGTTTAATAGTTTAAATAGATAATAGTGTTATGTATTTATAGAAATATAGAGTTAGTAGAAAGTATTTTTAACTTTATATAAATATTATATATGTAAATTCTTATTATAAATATAATAAAGAAATGGATTAATCATCCCATCCCTACTTCTAAAAATAGATTTATTTGTCACCATCATCACACCTTGTAATCCACAAATATCTGGAAAACTTAGTTTTTTTTTGTTAGTCAAAATCATCATCATGTTATTTTTCACAATCACATGTTGGAACTGGTTGGAATGTGTTTAATTAGTAAAATCTATTTTTAAAAGTAGGGTGGAATGATTGCTTAAAGAAATGCTAAGTATTACTAACAAAAAAAAAATTTATGCTACAAAATAACACAATTTTTGCCCAATTAAATTACTAGAGGTCTAGGATAAGTATCTCTAGAATAAGGATATTCATTTAATATTCTAATCCTATTTTTAAAGAGTCATTCAAATTCAATCTGGATCCCAGATGATAATTTGGATTAACAGATTCATCCTTTATTTAGGGATTTATTCTTAATTTCTGAATTTTAATGGATGAAATTATTGATATTTAATATAGTTAAAGTAAATTTTATTAGATTTAATGAAAAAATACATTATAAAATTTAATAATAATTTAACCTAATAAATTTCTTCAATTGATTCAATTGATATGGCTTATGAGAAAATTTTCAAAATGGCGAAAAAACCAAAAATTGAGAATGATATACAGTATATATAAATAATCTGAATCAGAATCCTAGGATTGCTATCAATGGATCTATCCGCCTAAAAATGTAGGTGCGGATATCTAAATTTGGTCGTCAAATAGTTACAGTAATATGAAAAATCATGTGATCGAATACGGCTTTAGAGTCTATAATTTGGTATGATTGGTATGTTTTATGGCCAATTTTTATTATTAAATAAAAATTTTTTATTTTTATTTTTAAATTAGTTACAATAATAATATATGTAGCCTTTTTATTGAAACAGTAAATATTTTAAGAAAATATCAATTCATAAAAAAAGATACCGTTAAAAGACTGATGGTCTTACTAATATTCGCCATGAAGTCTTAAGACTTTTTAAGATGATCTCAATAAAAAAAATGGATTACGTCACGCGAATTTTTCCAATAAAACTCCAAACTACAAGTTTTTTAAATTTTATAGCATGATAAATGTTTAAGAATCGAAAAGATGGTATTTTTTTTACAATAAATGCCTTTTTCTTAACGATTATCAAACTATTTATTAACTTATATACAGGATACTTCTAAAGATGAATATAATAAAGAAAACCGTGCTCTTCTTTTGACCAAGTAAGATTTATAAGCCGAGAATTTAAATTAAACTATGTTTTAGTAACATTTTTTCCTTATTTTTTTTGAAGGCAACCTGATTTTCATATATTATCTATGAAGGATTTTAAAGTTGGGCATGAAATTGGCAAGGGTAAATACGGACGTGTTCATTTAGCAACGAATAAATCAAGCGGATATATCGTTGCTCTAAAGATATTATTAAAACAAGAGTTAAAGCATGACAAACTTCTACGACAATTGGAACGCGAAGTTGAAATTCAAGGAAATCTCAAGTAAGATATTCATTTCATTTTTCGATTTAATATATTTAGCTAATTTATTTTATAAAAAATTTCAGTCATCCTAATATCCTTAAATTATACGGATATTTTCAAGATGAAAAACGAGTTGTAATGATTTTGGAATGGGCTTCTCTCGGAACTTTATATGCTCAACTAAAAAGACAAATGCGATTTGTTGAAAAACAAGCGTCAAGGGTATACACTTAACTGAATAAATTGAATAAATCGTGATACACAATTATAAATGGTCTTTTTAAATTTTATAAATTTAGTATATCGCACAGATAGCAAAGTCGTTAAAATATGTTCATGAACGTCACATAGTTCATCGAGATTTAAAGCCAGAAAATTTACTAATAGATAAACAAGGGGTTCTCAAATTAGCAGATTTTGGTTGGGCTACTTATGTACAAGACTTTACAAAGCAAGTAAAACTAAATATAAGTTTAAAAACTAACGGTTATAATACTCATAATACTCACTATTCCCACTTCAAATATAGTTCATCACTTAAAACTATTTGTGGAACATTAGATTATCTAGCACCTGAGATGGTTAAACGTCAGTCTTATAATGAGAAAGTGGACGTATGGGCACTTGGGATAATATGTTATGAATTGTTGGTCGGTGTACCTCCATTTGAATCAATAGGATTTCCACTAACAATTCAAAGGATAGTACTTGATGAAGTGATGATTCCAGATTATGTATCAAAAGAAGCGAGAGATATCATTATAATGGTAATTTAATTAATTATTGCTTACTAATAAGTTTATTTTACTAATAAGTTTATTTTAAATTATATTTTCTAATAATAAAATTCAGTTATTACAAAAGGATCCAATTAACCGTCCGTCAATGGAACAAGTTTTAAATCATCCGTGGATTCGTATGTATAATAAAAGTTCACCACAAAATAGTACTCAAACCAAGCTAACAAAAACGATAATCACGAATATTAATTATAATAATTGTTGAGTCTAAAAAAAAAAAAAAATACTTTTAAATATAATAAAATTATAAATCTTCTCGATTATACATTAATATAACAGTAACATATTATAATAAAAAAATAATTAAATTAAATTAAACGGTAATAAACTAGAATATGTAAATATATAAAGTTAATAAAAAACTAAGCATTGAACTTAAATACAAATACAAAATGAATTGCTTACCAATTTCCAAACACCTTTTGCATATTGTACAATTTCATTGGCCCCCATTTTACTTTCTCCATAAACACGATCTACAAAAGTTATGGGCACTTCTCCAATAGTGTAACCAAATTGTCTCGCACGAACCATCATTTCCATTTGGAAAACATACCCTTTGGAGATTACCAAAGAAATGATTCTTTCAAGGACTTCTTTCTTATACAGTCTGAGGTAGTTTAATTCATGAATTAGAATAAACTACAATTAAAAATTGAGAAATTTTGAGAATAAAACATACCTAAAACTTCCTGTGAGATCAGATACGTTTGGTCGAAGGAGTGTCGATGCAAGAAAGTTAGCACCGCGACTTTAAATTAAAGCAGGACAAAAGTTATAAACCGCTCTTTTATATTAAAAGTCATAGATTACTATTTTACCTTATTATCTTACGTTTAAGGTCCCATCCGTACACACCTCCATTTCCAGCATAACGTGTCCCAGTTACGATATCGAAATTTTGACTTCTTTGTAGCCTAATTAAAAATTTAATATGTTAAAGAATAAATAAAGGTAATTGTATTCTTAACCATAAATTAATTACCTAATAAATTCTGGAATAAATTTTGGCTAAGAATAATAAAAAATTTAGTAACTTTTATCCTTTAATTAATAACTGGAATGGAAAAAAACTTACGTGATGTGAAAAATCCGCGTCCATAATGATAACGAAATTACCTGTCACGAACTGGAGTCCATGAACATATGCTGTTCCCAGGCCGAGCTTTCCGGCTCTTGGCTTCAGTATCTTTTAGATTGGAAAAAAAAAGAAATTTAGAATAATATAAACCTGTCGACATTATGGTGATATATACACACAATATAATTTTGGCCATAGATGTTTACAAGTTGATTTGCAATATCTTGCGTTCCATCCGGAGAAGCATCATCTACAATTATAATTTCCCAATCTAATTCACTGAAATTGAAATTGAATTACTATTAAACAAAAGTACAAAACGCAGTGATCAATATAAACGCACTTTTCTTTAAAAGTTTCAGCTAATAGCCATACGATAATTGGTAAATTATTACGTTCGTTATAAGTCGGAAGAATGACACTATATTTGTTTTCAACACAGTCTGTTGCAACTTGAACAGAGGAATAAGACGAGGAATAAGACATTTTTAATTATTTTAGGAATTCACTTTGATCATTTTATACACTAAAATCCGTTAAGTGTTGAAAAATGATTGGTTATCGTCTTTTTTTTTTAGAGCAGTAAAAAAAGTATATCACTCTTTTGAATCAAAGCTCAAGTTATTTTTATTAAATACTCCATCCCAATTATTAAAAAATAAGATACTAATTGTAAAATTTTAAAAGTATTAAAATTTTTTAAAGGTACAGTCAAACCTTTATATAACGATATGTCGGGACTCATAAGAAAAAATTTAAAAAATATCGTTATATCAAATTATACCGATATTTATGTCCTCACATATATATAGTGGGAATGTAAAATTTTATCGGTATATCAAGTTTTTAATAATGTATCGGTATATCGAATATCGGTATATCGAGTTCTGACTGTATTTTTTTTTTGTTCAATTAATAGTAGTATTTTATCGAGAAATAAGTTACGGTTAATCATATCTTTAAAAAAATAAAATTTTATAAAATTGTGAAGTAATGCATTTATTCATAAAATAATTATTGTAATGCGCGTTATTTACTTTCTATGTTTTCATTATATATTAATTTAAAGTATAATTAATATTAATTATAATTTTATGAATAGCATTTTTAAAATATTTTTATTTGAATTTTAAAGTGGACCTATTTATTTTTCGTTCATCGCATTTCAATTTTTTCTGATAATCATCCATTTGTAACAAACATACTTTTTAATATAAATTTAGAAATAATATATGTGGGTCAGTAACTTATGATTCACCAGAATGGTATCAAGACCTTTTTTTTAACCAAAAATTTTTTAATAAACAAAGCTAACCGAGTTTATTTAATTATTCATAGAAAGTCAAGGTTCTTTCTCGGTCTACTTTAGAGTATACACGTAAAACTCCTCAAGATATTTATAAAATTAAACGTAATTATGACCCTACATTACACCCATTGGAAAAGGCTCGTGAGTACACTAGAGCACTTAATGCCGTAAAATTAGAACGAATGTTTGCGAAGCCCTTTATCGGTGACTTGTCTGGTCATTCTGATGGCGTTTACTGTATGGCCAAACATCCTAAAAAATTAACAACTGTTATATCGGGAAGCGGTGATGGAGGTAAATGTGTTCACTTTTTGTAAATTCTTTTTTCTATAACATATTTAGTAAATAAAATGTTAAATCAGAATTGAGGATATGGGATCTGTCCGATCGAGAAACAAAATGGAAGGTTGTTGGACATAAAAGTATTGTCAAAGGTGTTTGTTGTAGCCTAACAAAAGATAATTTATACTTTTCATGTGGGACGGATAAAACTGTGAAGATTTGGAATCCTGATCAATCGGGCGAAGTAAGTATTGATCCTTGGGATTTATTTACAATAATATTTTGTCAAATTGGATTATTTTTCCAATATCTCACTTTTATTTTACATCTTTAGCCATTAAATACTTATGTCGGAAAATTTGCTTTCAGGTTAGAATAAAAGGTTACATAAAGGTGCAATTTATATAAGGCTCTTTTTATTTTTGATCTATTGTAATAAATATCAATTCTTTAAATATAGCGCAATAGATCATCATCGTAGTGACCCGATTTTTATCACTTCCGGATCACAAGTTGACATATGGGATGAAAATAGGTAGATAAAGAATTTTTTAATTTTTCACATGAAAAAAAGTTATTTTAATTTATATTTTACATTATTTTATTTTGTAGGTCAGATCCTATCAAAACTTTTAATTGGGGAGTAGATACAATTAATACTATCCGATTCAATCAAACAGAAACAAACATTTTTGGTACTTGTGGTACAGACAGAACCATAATTCTTTATGATCTCAGAATGAATTCTCCCTTGACAAAATCGGTTTTGCAGGTCGATATTAATTATAAATAGAAATTCATTATTTGTATAAATTTATTTTAACTTATTTTTCATTATTATTTTTTTATAGATGAGAACAAATGCTATAGCGTGGAATCCAATGGAAGCATTCAATTTTACAGCGGTATTATTTGTTTTTAAAATTTGTTTTTTAATTTTTATATTTAGTAATTTATATGCATTTAATAACAAATTTTAGGCAAATGAAGATCATAACTGCTATACTTTTGACATGCGTAAGATGGATTGTGCATTAAATGTTCTCAAAGATCATGTATCTGCAGTGTAAGTAGTTATTTAATTTAAAATAAAATTATTATAATTATTAAATTTACTATCATAAAACCATTTTAACACAGATTAGATCTAGATTATTCTCCAACAGGTGAAGAAATAGTCACTGGCGCTTATGATCGAACATTGAGGATTTATTCAGCGCGTCAAGGACACAGTCGAGATATATACCATACCAAACGAATGCAACGCATTTTTTGCGTTAAATACAGCATGGATTCAAAATATGTTCTTTCTGGTTCTGATGATGGTAGTATTCGACTATGGAAGGCTAAAGCATCCGAAAAACTTGGACCGGTAATGAAATATTACATAAAAATAATAAAAATAAAACTATCTATCAAATTTTTTTATTCATATTTGTAATATGTGCGATGTTTATTAGAAGGACTATAGAGAACGTGCTCACATTGAATATCAAGAGAAGCTTATAGATCGATATAAATACCTTCCGGAGATTAAAAGAATTTCAAGGTAAAAATATTTTTGTTGTTCTTTTTTATTTATAATAAATTAATACTCATAATAATAATCTAATCATAAAAAATACAAAGACATCGTAATGTTCCAAAGGTAATTAAGAACGCACAAAATACAAAACGTATTATGTTGCAGGCTCAGCGGCGAAAAGAAGAAAATTTACGAAAACATTCCAAAAAAGGATCAATTCCGTACCAAGTAGAGAGGAAAAAACCAATTGTTGGTATTGCCAAATAATACGGAACATTATATAAATAAATTTATTATGTTATACAATGTAACATCAATTGTTTAATAAGATCATAGTATAACACATATGATAGATATATTTGCGTTAAGTTATTAGTACATTGTAAATTTTTATAATCATCTTACTCAATGGCAACCGAACAGTTATGTCCACATCCAGTTGGACATTCATTATTTGCCGAAAACCATTCTTTCATATGAAAAAGATGCCCTCCATGACTGCAACCTTGACACCAAGTATATAACCCTTTCACTGTATTGTGACTTTAATCAAAAGAATTTAATACATTAATTTTGAAAAAAAAAACCATACATTCTTTGGAAAAAATTTTACGAACCATATTGAGCAAGGATTTAGCATCTTCCGACATTTATCACATATCCAATATCCACTTCTAGAGTTAAGTATTGGTCTGAAACAATTATTACATGTTGTATATATTGTTGTGGATTGCTGTTGTATATTATTATTCCAATTAGCCTTAAATAGTAAGTTTGACAATTATTATAATAATTCAAACCTGATTCATCATTTCAACAGAAGGAACTCTGCAAGATGAAATAATATGCGTAGCTGCACACCAGAGTTGAAACCTATGCAATAGTTCTAGGAGAAAATTTATTTATTAATATCAATTTAACCATTAACATTCGAAATGAATAAAATGGCTTCGTATATCTACCAATATAAGAAAAAAACCATTGTTCTACCCTCTCTTGGCTTATTTTAATCATATCACCAAGCACTAGTATTAAAGTAACACACATCTGTACATCACCCTGAAAACGATGCTTGTAAGTCATTCATTACTAAATTGATTTTTTAAAAATTATAATAAAATCTTAACTTGTTCTGCATAATAATCAAATAACTGCATCATGATTGATTCTTTATCCCAGTTCCGACATAATGTTGAATTATATGTTGACTGAACAATATCACTCTTCATTTTAATCGTAGTTCGCCGTGGTTGTTGAAACTCCGAATCTTTACCCCGTTCTTCTACTTGACCAAATTCATCATCATCGTCATCGTCATAAAATGAATAAACCTCATCCTATTTAGAGGAGCTAGATAAGAATAATTGCCAAATTACAAGCAATCAATTAATAGACTTACATCAAGGGACTCGTTATGCTTTTCTGTTACAGTATTTAAATCCTTTATTGAATCCGATTCTTTTGTTTCATTCGAAGATTTAGATGGATTAGTGGGGGACGAATCATTTAACAAACTATTTGCACTTTCTTTATCTAGAATTTTATAAATGATAGCTTGTTAAATATCACCTGAATTTAAAACAGTTTAGTAAAATTTAAATACCCTTATGAGCATTATTATCCACAGGTTCCAAAATTCCATATAAAAGCTGTATTATTTTCCAAGTTTGTGCAGTTCTGAATCTTTGAACATCCCATGCAATCTTCATAATGAAATGTTACAAATTAATATTTAGCATAAATAGACACTATATGCCAACGCCGGAGATTTACCTTGGCATTATGTTCACACGCAGACCAAATATCGTGATTTGAAATAATGTAATTTTCAGCAAGATACGAAAAAGCTTTGTGATCGAAAGTGGGAAGAGAGGCGATACCAGTCTTTTGTTGAAACTTTTAATTTTATAAAATTAATTAATTATAAAAGTTTTACGGTATAATTACTCTAATTAAAGAAATTGACGTACTTCATTACGAGTTTCGATAATATTAGGTGATGTTCTCCTTTGTATAATTCTAAATTGATTACTTGAGGGTGGTATCGATCTAGATCTAAATAATGGTTAATAAATAAAGTTTTATAATAAGAAGAGTTCTTGTCAAAAAGGATATTTACTGATCTTCTGCGATTAAATCATCATATTTTTCAATTGAAAACGCAATCTTATCATATACGCTCCATCCAATACTACATTTACTAAGCAAACTCAATGGACGATAAGAACAGTTTATATCTTGTTGAATAAAGAACTTATCTTTCGAACAAGACCATAATACGTCCGAATTATGCCACAAAAATCCTAGATTTTAATTGACTTTAATTAAGATATGTAAAGTAAAGTTATAAAAAAAAAAAAAATATTTTGATACCTGTTGGAACATCTTCATGCTCTTCAAAATAATAACTTGCAATAAAAGGCCTCCTTATATTCCAAATAAAAATTCGACTGTCACTTAATAATGCACATGAAGCAATTTCATTAGGATGATCGGGTCGCCATTGGACGCGAGCTATGCTTGTCATGCTGTGAATAACGTCTCTTGGTCTCCTATTGTCTGAGTTCATATCCCATATCTACGTAGTTAATATGAAAAAAAAATATAAATTTAAATAATTAAGCGAATAGAAAAATAATCTATTTCATACTTTAATCAATTTGTCGCGCCCTCCGCTAGCAATAGTTCTTCCATCAGAATGCCAATCTAAAGCAAGAACAGATCCTAGATGTGCATTAAGTTTTCTTTCATGTATCGTTGGTTTTCTTATGTCCCATTTCTTTAAAAATATTAATAAAGTTGTCTTAATTAATCACGGTATATAGTAAATAGAAAAATATTTATTCGCTAACCTGAATAGCTCCATTTTCGAATGCTGCAGCAAAATCATATTGATTTATTGAATTAAATTGGACATCCCGAACATTCTCACATTTGCCTTCAAAAGTAAATCTTGCGGAATCCGGTTCTCTTAAGTCCTGATAATGAAAACTTGTATTTGTAAGTGGTTCAAGAAAAAAAGCTCTTTGTTACATTGCTAAATTACTCACCCACAACTTCATTGTACAATCTTGCGATGCGCTTAAAAGGATTGATCCATTTGTGGGATTAAAACATATCCTATTCACAGCACGTGAATGTTCATCTATTTTTCGATCTAATGAAGAGTCTTTAGGAATAAATGCATAATTAAATATAATAAAATATTTTTATATAGATTATTTACCTATTTTGGTACGACCATTTCCTACATCCAAAATTGCGATTGATCCATTAGTTGCCGCCGTTGCGATTTTATTTTTTGTGGCTAAAAAGCAACCAGTATAATTACTCTTAATTCCTGGATCAAGCTAGCTAACGGAATTTGAATTAAAATGTATTTCAAAAAAATAAGTTTAGTAATGCCAATAAACTTACAAGTATTTCCCCACTTTACATCATTGCTATATTTATTGAGATGCCTATTCTTAAGATTAAATTCTTCGGTAATTTCTCTTTCAGAGACGTTCAATACTTTAAGAACTATTAATGAATAATTAGGTTAACGAGTGTTTATTAACAATAAATATATCTAAAGAAAAACTTTACTACCCTCGCGACCTGCTACAACTACTTGATTATGATCTGGAGAAGCCGATAAAGCGGTCAAAGAGCTATTTAGGTTATGTTTTAGTTTTAAAATTCTCTGTACATTTCCCGATAGTTGTTTTTCGTTAGAAGAACGATTTGTGTCACTCCAAACATGGCTTGTTGTTAATGTAAAAAGGTGGTTTGTTAAATCAGTCTCTGGTGTTTGACCAAAATTGGGCCAAGAAGGAGGAGTCGAGGGACGGTCAAAAAAACGTCCTACGACCGTTTTTGAACGATCCGACATTGTTCAAATTATTGTAGTAATTATATAATTATATGCCAAAGACGGAGCAAGTTTTCTTGCCAAAATCAGAATAGGTAGTAAAAAATGATGAGTGCAATATATATATTTCAATTTCTAAATTTAGTAAAAATGGACCCTTTAGATGTTCCCTTGGTATGATCGTCAAGTAAACTGTGTACAATAAATACGCAGATACGCAGTTACGACTATAAATCAAATAACTCGAAAGTCGAGACGCGAATTTGTATCAGTTTTAAGAATAATTAATCACTGTAAACCAAGATACTACCTTCGCTTCTTTAAATAAATTAAAAAATGGTCAGGCAAAAAACACCAGCACGTAAACCTTTTCGGTAAGTGGTCCATTTATAAACGCGGCTTTTAACCCGTACTTTGAAATTTATCAAAGTTATATTATTTCTTTTCTTTCGAACAGTACACCTCCAATCACGAATTTTTTCCCTCCGTCGCAAAATAATAATACGTAAGTTAGTTTGGATAATACGAAAAAGGTTACTAAAACTAAAATGGTTTTTTTTTGTTAGAAACTCGGAATCCTCTGCTAAAAAACATGATAATGAGAATTATCCATACAACAGTACACCACCTTCAAAAAAAAGTACAAAGCGAAAAACCCCGAAAAGTCACAATGCAACTGAATCTCAATATAAAAGTTTTAATGCAACTCCTGATTCTCCACTTAAAAACCTCCATGTTAATAATCAAAATGAAACAATTACAATAAGTAGTGATGATGATGATGATGTTTCGAAGAGCGTTCCTGACGTAAGCTAAATTATCCGTATTAAAATACTTTTAATATAAGAGTTTATTATAATAAATTATCGGTTGATACTAGGTTATTGAATATGATGAAGTCGATCAAATGTTATCGAAATCAGAAAAAAGGTGTGTTTTTGTTAAGGGTTGAATATAATTGCAATTATCTTTATGAATTTTTTTTTTTTGTACTTAGTTCTAAGAATACAAAAAGCAACTTGCGACGAAGCACACGTTCTCGGCGTGTTATTTTTCAAGAAGGATTTGTTCCGACAGTTAACGCTGTTCCAACAAAGGGTGACATTCCGATATATGATGATTCATTGTCTCCCTCTTCAAAAGAAAATTATCCTTTAAAACCATCATACCAAAATTCGTTACCAGTACTTCTTCGAGAAAAAAAGATAAGAGATAAAGCAGGCTACAATATTAATGACCTAGAAAAATTGCTTGAGGATGATGTGAATGTCACTTCTTAAAAATGTGATTTATTTGTGAATTTTATTTAATTATTTTTCTTTTAGATGTTAGATGTACTTGAAGATCCGTATGACCATTACGATCGATTAAAAATATCTGCTGCAATATTAAACGAAGATGAAAAGTTTGAACATCTGCAGCAGGTTAACTTGTGAAATTTTATACAATCAATTTATTATTTACCAGTATCTTAGTTTGATAATATTTATTTGACATACTAGATACTTGAAGAGACTGATAAGTTTGATCAAGGACATCAAATAGAATTTTTCGGAACCTTAAATTCTGTAAATATACTGAAATGATTTTATATTTCTTCTCAAATTTTTTATATTGATGTAAATTTATTATGGTAGAATCTGCAAATTCCTAATTTACAGACAGCAGTTCTAAATAACGATCCAACATTTGATTTATTATTAAAAGTGTATTCTGGTACTTCAAATATTTTAAATCATTTCTTTTACGTACTTCATCTTTATAATCAATCACGTATTTAATTACAGATAAAGAAAATCTCAAAGATATACTTTGTAACAATTGGATTGCTCGTCAATTTGAGATTGGTTGGCAATTACCAACTGAGGTCATCATTTGGCTTCTTCGTTTAGGTGAATATTTCTTTTATATGCATATAAGATTCCTTTTATTGAATTAAACATACTTAACTCTTTGTTTCAGCAAGCTATGGAGAAGACAAAATAATTTCAGAAGCATCTTTTAACACATTAAAAAATATTGCGGAAGTTAAAGTAATTGTTACATTATAATGGCGGTTTATTTTTCTCTTCAATTTAATGTTAATTATTGTTTATAATACAGGGAATTTATAGTTCTAACCTGGAAAATGAACCTAATGACATAAATGTTTCTTTTATGGAAATATACAATATATTAACTACATTGGGTGCATCAAATCAAATGATTAGTTCACGATATTGCCTGGAACAGATTATTATGCAAATTCCTCTATTCGGTATTAACATTTACTTATTGTTATTTACTAATTATTTAAACAAAGATTAACTTAGATCAAGTATTTTTTTTTTAAATAGAAGCTCCTCCTAAATTCTCTTATATCGATAATGTAAGACAATTGTTGAAAATACTTGTACCTATGATTTATAACAGGTCAGGGTGAAATAATTGGTATATGAATAAAAAACATGAATAATTACGCTGAATTTATTCTATATTTTAGGTTAATCACGTTTTCAAGTCCTGAAGAAATAAGATCTGCTGTCATTGTTTTTCTTCGATTGCCATTAGATAAACGACTTTTGTCATTATCCAGCGAAATTGAACAGCTATTAGATTTGCTTTTAGAGATGTTTGAAGAAGACCAATGGAAAGAACAAGTAAGTTACGAATTTTTGTTCTCTATTAAAATTTGACCTATATTTATTTTATTTTTTTTATTTCTGTTTTTTTTAAAAAAAAAAACATAAAGACCAAGCTGATATGTGATGATGTTGAATTTTCATGCGGCTCAATAACGCAATTCAAAGCGTCCATATTAGAGAATTTACCGATTTCTAATCGCGGACGTTTATTAAGACGTTTTTTAGCATTTCGATTCTTGTTTGGTCTCAAGTCAACGTTTTCCATAGTAAATTTTTGTTATTATTATTACTATTTTCTTTTTTTTTTTGAAATCACATTAAGGAAAAATTATTTATTATGGACTTAATTCACAGCTTGATGTAATAGAACCTGAGATTATCAATTCTCTTCCGGATCTTTTCCGGGATAGTCTGACCGTTTTTAAAATTAGAGACGAAACTAATTACACTGATTTATATAATTATGTTTTATTTCTTGATTATGCTTTAGACGATGAATCACAGTTGAGAAATGCGAAGGTAATCACTTATATTCTTATCCCCCTTGCAGCATTATTATAAATAAAATTTAGTATATATACATTTTTTGATGATAGGATACAATCGAAGAAATTGTCAACAAGTTAACCCATTTACATGGAAGAATAGGTAATATTATTTATATAAATATACTAAGTTACATCAATTTATTCTAATTATTCATTTTACTTGTTTAAATAGTGGACATGCGAGCCGCATTCATGGAACGAACAAAGGTAAAGGTCATAAATGTGCTGCTCAAGGTTTTAGGAATATTGTATGGTTTGTGCCTTAATATACATACTTATTTTTCAGGCTAAAGACTTGATTCAAAGACTTTATATGCGGCTTTATTACGTAACCAGTCATCGACGCGGGAAAGTTCAAACGAGTATACTTTCTTATAAGAATAATCAAATGGACGTGGACAAAGAGGAAAACCGATAGTTTCAATCATTTGAGGTATTTTATTAAATTAATTCCTAACATATTATCATTAATTATAAGTGTTATACTATTTTCTTTTCTAATTTTAATATTCTTTTTCATTTATATAGATAAACTCGTGGAATGGTTTATGAATTTCTCGAACTGACATAAGACTTAGTTTCTAATATAAATTACTCTGGTGGTTTCAGAAATTTTCTATTAATTTCATTTTTAACTTTCGCAATCTTTTGTGGAATTTCTCCCTCTTCTAACTCGTAGTTACTATCAACTTCGTCTAATTCTAGTTCGTCTTTTTTCCTCGAGTTTTTGTCCAAAGTTATACTTTGAATATTTTCATATTTTCGCTTTCTAACCTGTATGTTGTTACTACGCGTGTATTTAGTAGAATTTGATAATGTTTCGTTTTGTTCATCTATTATTTTTACAGTCGGTGCTTTCTAACTCGAAGTAATCAGGTTAATTAAAATCTAAATCTAATACCTATAATATAATTCTTATTAATTATAATTATCTTACCCGATAACCTGATTTGAAACGTCCAAAAGACAAACGTCCATTTTTTACTTCAGATTTCGTAAAAGATAGATAACTTGGTAAATACTCCACATTGAACTTACTTTAATAATAATAAAGAAAAGTCTTTAAATAGATGAAATAATTGGCAAGTTACATTTATTGGACTTACGGTTTTCCAACGTCAAGCTCATCGTAAAAAGCAACCCATTGAGCTTCACCAAGGGCTTTAGATCGTTCTCTTTCTAATTTCTCACGTAAAGCTCTTTCTTGTTGCCTTTGCATAAACTGTTAAGAGTTTTAGATTCGTTAAATAATAAAGCAACATATGTCCATAGCAGCAAAAAAATCACCTTAAGCTCTAAAATGTTATCTGACAATTTTGGCTTTCTGTCAGTTTTTAATTCGAATTGTTCCATGATTATTAAAGAGTTAATTTGAAAAATGTTATGTAATTATTATAATATTATTATCCAAGAGTGTATCACAGTTGATCCTTAGTAATTAAGTAATAATTTATAAATTAAAAAATTGGTTTTGTTTAATCACTACATATCAATACAATTTAAATAATTCTAAAAGTTAAATAAACATAAAAATATAATCAGTTAAAAAATATATTAAATAGTTTGAAAAATATAAATTCTTTTAAAAAATTAATTTTGGTTAACAAATAAAAAAGATTTTAAATAACAATAGGGAAATTTATGTAAATTAAATTTAAAAAAAAAAGCGAAATTTGAATATTTCTTATCTTCAATAGATACAAAAAACAGAGAGCAAAAACTATCCTAACATTATTAAGTATTATACTTCTTGTCATTTTAAGACTAAGACTTTACATATATATTGTTAAATGAGAACTCTGGCTGGAAGAGTAAGGTAATTGTATAAAACATCTCTTTCTTAAAGAGATTCTCTCCTTTCAATTTACACCAGTAAGTGTTCCACTAAACTTATTAATTACACTATAGAACAAAATTTAGAAAAAAAAAATACAGAGAAGTGAAATAACAAATTCTAGGGTAAAATAAATATAAATGAAAAAAAGGATATAAGTTAATAATGAAGCCACATTACAAATTCCAAAAAAAACTTTGTTAAACACTAATTCTAAAATCAGCCTTCTTAGCATTGATCTAATTTTTGCCAATATAGTTAATTTTTTTTTGTCAATACTATCTAAAACTTTGCCTTTGTTATTTCTAAATATTTTAGCCTTCTTCTGCTTCTTGTTTGACTTTTGATTAGTATTCTGTAAAATCTTATGATCAACATCTTAGTTTTGCTTCTGTTGCTATTCACTTTTTAGTGGTTGATTACAATATTTATTCTATTTAGAAAAGAAGTATCTTTATCAAACACCAGTATATTTTTCATTGAAGCTGACTTCTGTATATTTTCTGTACCAATAAATGCATTTACAATAGCTTAAGATTTGTAGTACATAATCAACTTTTTTCTACTTTTCTTTTGAACAATCTTGAATATTTTGCATCCAGTAGGTACAAGTATAGATTGAACAGGATCATTTAAATAAAGCATTAAAATGATAATAAATACAGGAATTTTCGTACTCGATCCTCTATCTTAAATCCGAACAGGGTTTCAATTTTAACCGAAATTTTCAAATTAAAAAAAAATTTCATAAAATTTTAATTTTCAAGAGAAAAATTGACTTCATTTGTCAAAATTTCGTTAAATTTTAAAGTACATATTAATTATAACCGATTCTTTATCAAATTTTATAAAACATGACGAGAAGAAAATCGATTAATCAAATTATGGGTTCGGAAAGGATAGCAAACTGACTATCTTCTAGTACTATAGTAAAACCCAACTTACTATTAAGATAGATCACCCTGTGGCCTAAAGTAAGATATACATATAAAACTCTTTAAAGATCCTACTATAAAAGGAAATTTTATGTTATATTGTTATGATTTTTTTTCTTTTTAGTCAATTAACCAATAGAATTTAAGCAAATCTTAAGGTAAGGTTTCATATGAAAGTGAAATTTCTACTGGTAATATATCTTAGTAGTAGGTAAGGTTCTGCTATAGCTTGAAATCATTCTTATTTTTTTCTTTATTAAAAATTCTAGTTTATAGAATATTATCTGAGTAATTTAACCAGTAGTTTTTCTAGTAGGGTAGTCTAAATCCAATGTTCTATAGTTCCATAATCTATTTAGTAAGATTAATTAATATTATAACTGTTATGTATTTTTTTGAGTTTTAATTTTTATAGCAATCACATAACCTCATACTTTAAAAGCTCAAATTTAAAGTTCTGAACAGATTGATCAAATTCAGGTAACCTGACTAAGGATACCAAAAGTTCATCAGTTATAACCAATTATAACCAGTTTTTATCAGTTCGATTACAGTTTGGTTTCAGTTCAAGACCAACCGGTTAACCATCAGTTTTATATATAAAAAACCTGATAAAAAAACTGATCAGTTAATCATATATTCCAAAAGAAAAAAATGTTTCTTTTATTAATTATATTAAGAATACTATTAAAAATTATGATTTTGTGTTTATTTATATATATAGTATTAGTGATACCTGGCTAAACTCTTTTTGCCAAAAATTTCAGTTTCGTCACCAACTAGTTTCAGTTTCGTCATTGACTAAACTATATAGTAATATTTTTTAAGTTTAAATTTTTTTTTTGCAAGGTAGTGCAATTCATGAGTTTATTAGTTATATGAAATTACAGGATTGTCTGCTAAGTGTATAACTAATCTATTAAAACTCTNGTGACGTCGGGGTCGATTGTTAAGATACACGACATTATGTTCAATGTTAATTGTGCTTTTTTTAATCTCATTTTGAGCATGTCTGCTTGTTTCGTTTGTGAATTTAGAGCTACCAGAAATTCCGTAATCTGCGCAGCTATTTGGTTTCTCCATAGGTTTTTTAACTTGCCTTGTGCAAAATGTAGGAGAATATTATCGTGACAACTAGTAGGGAGCCGCGCTTTATGTTTGACTACCTTCATGACTGGTCTGAAGGTTTCTTCGTACTTCTTATCCTCCCAGATTGTGGTTTTTAATCTTTATTCGAACCTTGGGAGTAACACGGTATTTATAATGTATATTGTCTGTGCGTGGGTTATGTGTTTGCGTCTAATGACCTCTAATATTGTCAAAATTTCTTTTTTCACTATCGATTCTACATGTTTATCTCCTTTATCTGCCTTGAACTACACTCCCAAAATTCGTATTGAATCTGAACCTTTATTAGCAAACACTTTGTCTTTGTTTTTCCCTATTTCTATGAACCTTTCGTTTTCGTTATTGTCTTCCGGATTTACAACTATGATTTCGGATTTGCCTCCATTTATCTTAATATCGTCAATGTTAAAGAATTCGTCGGCAATTAGTGATATTTTGTTGCTTCGACTTTACTTTTAGCTATCCATTGTGTGTCGTCTGCGTATGCTGAAGTGGCAGTTCGTATCTTTATACTCCGTTTCTCATTGCAGATTATGTTAATCGGCCATTCCAATTCCATTGTATAGCTTAACGATTTGTCTTCTTATATTCTGTGAAGCAAAGGGTCGTAGAAAATCCTCCATACCAGGGGGGATATTATCTCGCCTTAATCGATACCGTCCTGCGCAGTGAAAGCGTCTGTTAAACCGTATGCCGTGATAATTCTCATCTTACGGTTCCTGTATATGTTTATAATGAAGTTAATAATGGTACATGACAGTTTAATCCTTTCCAAAGCTTTTTGCAGGGGGATCATTTCGACACTGTCGAATGCTTTCGCCATATCCTGAGACACAATCCATAGTGTTTTATTTTCTTCACAGGCATCCTCTAAAATACTGTTTATTATTGTTAGTGGAGTTGATGTTGATTCGCCCGGTAAGCCTGCGTAATTTGGTCCTTTCAAGATTGCATGTCTGCTGAGAATACTACCGAGACGCTTTGTAATAATTTTGACCGCGCATTTGCGTAAGCATTCAATTAAAAGGATTGGTCTCATTCTTGCCAAGTTATAATCCCAATCGTATGTCTTAGGGATCGGATACAGCTGGGATATCTTCCATTTTACTGGTATGTCTTGCAGGTAATAACACAAGCCTGTGTATCGCCTGAATAATTCATTCACTTCAGCACCTGCTTTCTTTATTAATTTGTAGCTGATGTTTGATATACCCGGGGCTGATTTGTCATTCATTGTGTTTAGCATCTCGTTCCATTCTTGTTCTGTCGGCATATCATCCAAATGATCATAAACTTGCAGGTCGATGTCAGCTCGTGGTTCATATATGTCCCTCCATTGTTCAGGTAGATTCTCAAATTTATGATTTCTCGAACGGAATATCGATGAGAATGCGTTAATGGCCTCTGCTTGGACTTCTTCTTTAGAATTCAAGAGGATTTCCTCCTGTGTGTCTGTGGCTATGCGGATCCTGTCCAGGTTGATTCTGGAGTAAGTCTTGTCTAGTATACTATTGATCATTTTCCGTTGATCTGTAGTGATCATGTTGTTCCTTTCCTCAATTCTTCTCTTTATTGTTGCTTCTTTGCAAGCTTTATCTTTCAATTTAATCACTCTTCTGACTACCTTCAACCAATTCCTAGTTTCACATTTCCACGTATACCAATCCGTGTCTTCTGTTAGCTGGAAAATATTAGTTCCGTAGCGTTGGTTGAACGATTTGATCCCTTCTGACGCCTTGACTAACTCTGTTCCTCTCAACTCGTTCTTGTATAGTTTCCTCATTATGCTTCTTATGTATAGGAGGTCTTTACGTTCTTTTGAGGAGTCTTCTATTTCTTTATAGTTTCTATTGAGGTTAGTTTTGGTGCCTCCTACTTTTTTGTGTGGGATGTGCTTGAGCGAGATCTGTTGTATACAGTTACATATAATGTCCCATAATTCATTTAAGGTGTTTTATTTCATCCGTGGATTTCTATATATTCAAAGGCTTTCCGCTTCTCTAAGAGGCTCTTGAGGTAATTTTTGTATTTGTTCCATTGTTCATTTGTGGTGTTTTCATAATCATATATAATGCGTCTTGTGTTTTTCTCAGCTCTTCTACCACCTTTGTTATTAGTGACTATTATATCTGTGAAAGAGATTTCCGCGAGTGTAATATTATGGTCGCTATCTGTGATATCGGCTGATTGGTATATGTGGCTCTTTTTTAGTTTAGCTTCAAGCTTCAGATCCGCCCAGATATAATCGATTCTGGTTGATGTAGTATTGTTTGTCCATGTAAAGCTTTTTTTTTTGATTTAATTTTCTGAATGTGTCCATGAAGAAAGCGTCGTCTAGCCATGTGATGATGCTTGAAGTTTTTTTAGCGAGTTTGGATGGGCCACTGTCTGTCTCTTATACACATCTAGATGTGTATAAGAGACCAATCATAAGTGTTGTAATATTACAACACTTTAACTTTAAAAGTAGTAATAGGTTGCAACCCTTACTATTACAACACAAGGTAGTAATTATCAA